CACCTGCTTAGCATGTACGAGGTCCTGGGTTCAATCCCTAGTACCTCCTCCAAAAATAAAAGTAAATGAATAAGCCTAATTACCTCCCCCCCACACAAAACAAATAAAACAAAGGAAAAAAAGATTTCTGTTTAAAAAAATTTTTTTAAACCTTTTGTATTTAAAAGGACACCACCAAGAAAGTACAAAGACAATCCACAGAATGGGAGAAACATTTTGTAAATCATATATCTGATAAGAAACTTGTGTCTAGACTATTGAAAGAATTCTTAACAATTCAACAATTAAAAGACAAATAACCCAATTTAAAAAAGGGCAAAGGATCTGATTAGACATTTCTCCAAGAAGAGAAATGGTCAATAAGTACATGAAAAGATACTCAGCATTTTTAGCAATCAGGGAAATGCAAATCAAAACCAGAATGAGATACTGCTTTATAAACACTAGGATGATTATTACCAAAAAGTCAGATTCTAATAACAAGCACTGTTGATGATGTAGAGAAATTGGAACCCTCGTACATTGCTGAGGGGAATATAATGCAGTATGGCTGCTTTGGAAATAGTCTGGCAGTTCCTTGAAATGTTAAACAAAGGGTGGCCATATGACCCAGCAATTCTTTTCCTAGGTATATATCCAAGGGAACTGAAAACACATCCACACAAAAACTTGTACATAAATGTTCATAGCACCATAATTCATAAGAGCCAAAAAGTGGAAACAACTCAAACATCCATCTACTAATGAATTGATAAATAAAATGTGGTATATCCATATAATAAAATATTATTTGGCTATGAAAAGGAATGAAGTACTGATATATGCTATAATATGCATGAACTTAGAAAACATTATGCTAAGTGAGAGACACCAGTCAAAAAGGACCACAGATTGTATGATTCTACTATATGAAATGTCCACTGTAGGTAAATCAAAAGAGGCAGAAAGTAGGTTAATAGTTGCTAGGATCCAAGGAGGTGAGGGAGAATGATCTCTATTGGGTATGAAGGTTCTTTCTGGGGTGGTAAAAATGTTCTAAGCTGATTGTAATGATGGTTGCACAACTCTGTGAATATACTAAAAGCTTTAAATGGATGAATTGTATGGTATGTGACATATCTCAATAAAGCTGGTAAAAAAATCACACTGAATAAAAAGTTTGTTGGAGGTGGGCAGAGATAAGCAGAGGCAGGCTGCTTTATCTGTGTATCTCCTGGTAATACTGAAGGCTGCCTCAATTAAGAATTTCCTGCATAAGACTTACTTTCCCTACAGCCCTACTTTCACCCCCAACTCATCTTCTTTCAATTTGTGTTCCTT